CAGAGGAGAGATAGAAAGAGACGCTTTATTGAAAAGCTAGATATCTTAGGCTTTGTCGGACCTGCTTCTCTAGCTGCATACTACACACAGTACAGTGAATACGCTGATAATTTTATTAATCGAAGCGTTTAACTCTAAATATTTGTAGCACTAATAATTCAAGGTTTATCTGTTTTACAATAGGCATTTTAATAACTGTATCTATTTGTTATTGCAACATTGACTGGCTCATATAGTTAAGTTTTACTTAGTTAATGATTCGATTTTGCAGCGTAACCTTTGTCGCACTCTAAATTTTGTATCAGTGGAATACCAAGTATTTCGCCGTACTCTCCTCGAGAACTTGAGCATGGTGTGATTTCCTTGAACAAGGATCTGCTTGGTGGTCTTGTCGACAATGTTCATTTCAAGGACAATGGTCTTTCTCCTCGGGTGGGTCACTCGGGTATGGATTAATATCACGTTTCCAATCGTTGCCGGTGCCAGAAACTTACAAAGAACATCTGATTCACTGACAAGACTCGAAATTAGCGAGAATGGCACCAATTAATTCATTTACATCTCAAAGTGCCCATTAACCGCCCTGGGCCTCGTTAAGGGCACACTTTTCTTACAAAAATAAACTATATAAAGCCTGTAGACAGAAGGATACAAAAATGCAGCGACAAAAGAAAAGAAATTGAAGAGAAATGGTATGACAAATCTACTACTAAAAAATGGCAGCATATCCACGGGGTGAAGCATCCGTCTCTCCATGTGTCCATCTGTGTGACCGTCCGGGCGTCCATCCGCCTGTCCATGCATGCGTCTGTTCCTGCGTCCGCACGTCTATCCCTGCATTCGTTCATGCATCCGCCCCTGCGTCCGTCCATGCGTCCATGCAGCCACCCGTGCCTCCGTACATCCATCTGTCTGTGTGGCCGTTCGTCCATCTAGTCAACACTCCAAGTACCACCATCTCGCATCTTTTCATCATATATTCCGCATATACAAGCACCGTCATCCAGCGGACATTCCAATGACTACACGAGAGGTGGCACACGCACACTTTCTTATTGCTTGCGCTTCGTGTCTACATCCCACTTTTAACCACCTTGAGTTCATGGTATATACTAGTTCACTGCATTCATGGCACTGCGGCCCAACGCTTGCTTAACTTTTCTAAAACCTAGGTGGTTACGCCCAGCGAGTATAACGTAGCAACCCTTTCTTGTCAGATAGTGCTCAATGTAGGTACATGCCAGTGGCTGCTAATGAGGAATGAGAGACAGGAGAATTCGGCTTTTAGTTAACGCGCATGCTGCGAATTTTTTATTGTTCAACAACTCACAGGAGAAATCTCCCACCAGCACCACTCTGCAGTTCGAATCGTAAGATATATTACTACGAGGGACGAACGGGTGCGCTTCAAGGAGCTTGGCCCCTAAATCTGCCAAGATGGCAACGCGAGGTATTTTATGATTATTTTGTGAATATGCTCAGAAATTATGCAAATATCAACGCATATATTTGTTCCCGCAGCTACACTTACATTTTCAAGTGTCAGTTTTTGTGGTACATTTTTCAGATAAATGTTACAGAATATAGCATGAAGTACCATCATATCGAAGGCTCCCATTACAACAGTTCCATTCAGGTCTCATCGCCACGGAAGCACACACACACACACACACACACACACACACACACACACACACACACACACACACACATGTTATCAATGTTAGACACAATGTGAAAGCCTTCTTGTTTATGTTGCGAAGGCTGCACACAGGTGCGAATCTGCGAATCAAGCAGAAATATGGAATGCGCCTGCCGGCTCTGCTGGGCAGATCCTCTAAGAGGAAGCGTTTGTCGGGCTAAGGGGCATGAACGGACACTAAGGGGACTGCGTCGCTCTTGTAACAACTGCGAACGTTGATCACTGGCCGAGGTTTCGATACAGGTCAGTGGACAAATCATACCCTTGTAGGAGCTGTGCTTTCATCGTTAGCCTTGCTGTGAAGTCACATACAGCTCGAAAAACATTCTGCTAGCCGAAGTGGCCGTGCTTTCTTAACTTGCGTTTGTATAGAGTAACGCCTGATAGGATCCTAAGGGAAATAATGTTAGACAAAGCAAGGTTATAAGCTATTATTTATTGCTGTCTCATTGTTTTGCCATTGCGGCGAAACTTTTTGCACGCGTCATTTCAGCGTGGTATATGATGCCTGGCATATACTATATACCATGGCATATTGTGCTCGAAGGCTTAATTTGGACGCTTTATGTGGCTGATCCTAGTCCGGCCCTGGTAGCCGTCAAGCGATTCTTATAGCAGTGTCCTATACGTGGGCCTCACAATAAGCTTCACGCAGCACCCATAAGGCAATCTCGTGCAATGTTGGTTTTCTAGTGTACATTTCACCCTGTTTGTAGCTTTGCATTGACGGTCGGCTGCGATAGATCAATGCCTATGGTGCACTGAAGTGGGTCCGATGGTCGCGGGTTAAATTTTGGCCGCGGCTGTGCATTTCAGTGGAGGCGAAAAGGTTGAGGACTGTGTGCTGTGCAATGTCAGTGCATGTTAAAGAACGCCAGATGGTCAAAACTTCGGGAGCCTTCCACAACGGCGTCTTTCATAATCGGGTCGTGGTTTGGGAACGTAAAACCTCAGATAATAATAATAATTATAATAATAATAATTTCGAAGTTCCTCATTGACTACTTTCTTTTCATTCGGTCATACCACAGCTTTTGCCTTGATGTTCTCTATCGCCATCAATGGGAAACTTCAAAAATTATTTTCTTCCTTAAAACAAAAATATAATGAGAAAACTTGTCACATAAAAAAGAACTGTTCATTTGCTTTTGAGTTGGGTCAAAACGTGATTTTTAACTTGACCACCACATGGTGCCAATGGCGTCCCAATATGGACAAAAAATGTCAATTTTATTAAATTTGTGATTTTTCCCCGTAAATTTTGGCAACTTGAGCGGTTAAAATGTATTTTTTCTACGAAGTATACCTTCTGTTGAGTAAGTATTCATTGTTCAGATATTCATACGAAGTGCAGTATTGCAAAACAAAAAATGCAGACATAACACAAGTTGGCTGAATTCTTGGAGGCACATGAGGCCGAAAAATTGCATTAATATTACTGAGGTTCAAACACCTTGCACAATCACATTTACTTATGCACACTAAATTTTGGGCAGAAAGAAAGAGTGGTAGCTTTAATAAAATGTTTTCCCAATCAACACCCAGACGACATTCTAGAAGGTTCAGAAAGCACTAACTTGACCAAAATTTTTTTCTTTCCAAAATATTCTAGCAATTTACTCTCCTCAATGCAGTAATTTAGTGCGATTTCTCTCTAATACATTTGAGATGGTCGCCAGATTGGCTGGGCCGTTTGGCATGGAATGACCCAACTAACTCCAGAGCTGCACGTATGGCGGCGAGTTCTGCCGTTGTCGATGATGTCAAATGCGATGTCTTGAATTTTATTGTGATGAACTTAAGGAAATAAGTACCGCCGCTGCTGAGCTTACTGAACAGAGCCATCTGTGTCAATTTGAAGGCGACCGTTGTGCTTCTCGTGCAGGAACAGCAGTGTGGCCTGTTTCAGGGCTAGATGCGACGAGTGTTTCTTCTTTCAGGGGCCAGGAATGGTAAGAACAGCTTTGAATGGGTGTAAGAACCACAATGGCAACGGCAGTCTTGCCTCATACGTGAAGTGCGATGGAAGCACTGCGCAATGCTGAGCTACAGTTGCGCTGAACGCTGAGTGGATCCCGATCTTAAGCTTCGTCTTCCCTCAGGAATATCTCGAGCTGAGGAGACTCTACCACTTGCGGCTTGACGTGGCCTTCATGAATGCATACTCGCTTCGTATTGGAGTGGCCTGCACTTCTGCGTGCAATTGCTGCAGCTGCGAAGAAACAATCACCCATCTTCTGTGCGAGTGTACCCATATTAACGCGCCAAGACAAGAATTTACCGAAGCTCTAGATAGATTACATGATTGGTCTTTGTCGGGACAAGGTATTCTTGGTCATTGGCTGGGTCCATCTGTAGCCTAGAAGGCTTTGAAAGCTTTATTACGTTTTTTTTTGCGGACACTGGCTTTAGAGACCGACTTTAGTGTCATACTTTCTTTATTTTCCTCTTTCGTTATATTTTGTCTTCTCTCTCTTTGTAACATCTGTTTTCTATCTTCTTCTATTCACCTTACCCTCTCTCCCCAGAACAGGGTAGCCAGCCTGTCTAAGAACTGGATAACCTCCCTGTCCTTCTGCTTCTTTCTTTCCTCCTTCTTCGCACTGTGGCCACTGCCCAAGCAAACTAGGTCGAATGCAAGTCGTGGCAGCCTAATGCTGACAGTGGCTACATCGAGCCCTCAGTTTTCGGTCCGGTTACAGTGAACTTGTACTTGGTGCGTAGCTTAGCAACGCAACCACGCCTGATGCACCAAAACAGCTACATCAGCCATACTTTAGGTGCACATGTAGCGGCACTTTACTCTTCCAGGTAAAATTTCTACAACCTTATAAATTATTCATGTGCCTTTCTGACCTGTATCTTGCCTGTATAAATGTCTATAAACGCCTTCCGATTAGCGTCTCGGAGTTATTCAAAACGTCTGGCTGACATTCGGCCACAGTTGCACATTTTGTCTCACTGGAAATGCACGATTCGTCGGGCGCCTCCACTCTCTTTTCCCACCGAAGCTCTGAATGCATAATGTATAGTGTAATACACTGCACGTCTGTAGTGGATATGTTTTTCCACCAATACAAGTAGAACACTTAGAAGGTTTCTAGAATAGCTTAATTGAGCCTTAACTGCCGTTGAACAGTCGCTTGAACACTAGTATTCATTTGTGTTTTCGCAACAGCTAGCACTTTACACACTAAGCTTTTACTTGAAATAATATCCCGGCTTGGCTATACAACCATTATTTATCACACTTTGTAAATTTTGTATGATCACGCCAAATATTTCAGGGCATTTTGCTCTAGAACAAGAACATGGTGTGAGATCCTTGCACAAGGACCTGCTTGGTGGCCTTGTCGAGAAATTCCATTTCAGCGAAAGCAGTCTTTCCGCTTGGATCCGCCGCGCGGGAGTTGATTAAGATCTCGTTTCCAAGCATCGCTGGAGCCAGAAACCTACGAAAAACACCGAAACCAGTGGGACATTGGAAAATGACCTAGAACGTCGCAAATTCATACTTTGCTTCTTCTTGAAAGTGCCCACGGGCAACTACTTTTCTTATGCAAGAAACAAAAGCAAAAAGTCAAACCCTTTATGACACTTGTATAGGAATGCAGTGTAAAAAAAACTAAGTTCATATAGCAGAGAAGTTAGATCAGGTCACACTTTCGCTTCTATGGCGAAGTGATGAACGCGATAGCATAACATAGGGAAGGTGTCCGGAAGCAAGGCTAACAGCTAACTCCTTTAGTGTACGACCTGGCTAAGTTGCATAAAAGCTAAGTTACATAAGGCAACGTGGTCGCGGTAGCGAGCGAATGTCATGGGTTTCACGTGTTGAAATCGCAAGCTCATTGTGAGGAAGGCCGTGGTGGATGACAGCAGAAATTTTGACCATCTGGTTGTCTTTAACGTGCACTGTCATCGCACATTACATGGTCTTCTAGCATCGCACCTTCATCGGAACGTGACCGCCGCTGTCGTAATAAAACTCGCGAGTTTCGGGTGAGCATCCGAGCTCCGCAACCATGCAGTGCACGAACCGAGGTGAACCTGTAATGAGCGAAGCGACCTTCGTGCAGTCTATCGCTTCATCCTAAAGAGAGCGAGCGCGAAGGTGTGGCCCAGCCACTGATCCCTGTCAAGATAACCAGCGCGCGACCGATTCCGGCTGGTCAAATTACCCAGTTTTATCCTAAGTCAGCTAGCGCCTCTAGCGGACCCGTGGTGCACTTTTCGCGCGGCGAAAGATGGCTGGCGTGTTTCATTTGCGTCCGAGCAGCACTCATCCAAGCCCTCGCGCGCTTTTTCATTCGCACATCAAACAAAGGACGTTCAGGGCGATGCCATGACAATTTGAACTCTATACCGAACCCCGCGGCAACACCGAGAGCAGAAATGCCCCTCGAGCGCCCACACGTTTACTACAGCAATAAAACAAGTTCCACCTTAGATTCGAGTTTGACGAGCGACTACGCTGATACCCCTCTTACGTTGTGAATATTGTTTCTTTTGCTGGGCACAACTTCGCAGGAGAGTATAACGATTACTTGTTTCACTCCATGCAGCTTTCTGCACCGTCACAACCTTGTGACGAATATGATCGCTTAATTGTATATGTCAGTTTACATCACTGTAGCTTTTTTTGTGTGTGTGTGAATGTTGTCTCTAAAAAGGGCATCATTGTCCGCCGTGAACGTGTAGTGGTTGTGGTGCTCGGCTGCTGCTCCGAACTTCCCGCGTTCAATCGCGCCCGCATCGGTCGCATTTTGATCGAGGCGACAAGGCCCGTGTACAGCTGTGCTATGTCTGTACAAGTTAAAGAACACCAGATGGTCGAAATTTACGGAGCTCTCCACAACGGCGTCACCCATATTCATATTTTGGTTAAACCCTAGATATTATTATTAAATAATGTCATCGCTGGTGTTGATTGAATCATGCTACTTCGTGTGGTGCTGTACTGCTGGTCCATGTGTCGCGGTATCGACTAATCGAGTACCGGCCGCCGCAGCCGAATTTTGTCCGAAGCAAAAGGCTGAATACTGTGTATTTAGTGTTAGGTGGACGTCAAAGAACCCCCGGGGGGTCCATATATTCGGAACTCTGCATGCGGTATCATTCACAAACTTATGGAGGCCTTGAGACGTGAAACCTCCACAGTTATCATTAATAAGAATGCAACTTGAAGGTATCAGTGTGGTGTTATTCTAGCCATAATGCCTCGCAAAATATTATAATTGTGACTTAGCACATACCTGGCTTCGATGTTCAGGCTGGTGAACGACGTGCTCTCATCGTATAGCGTGGTCGCAGTCGCAAACGTGTACAGGTCTATCAGAATGAATGCCGTGCCAGTGTGCATAGCACCGTGCAGGTCACAGTGCTCCTTTTCCAGCCGAAGCTCGAACTGGGCGACTCCCTTTTCCACCTTCACGATTTTGACCTGCGATAAAGGCAATGAGAACGGTGGTGCTTTGGTTAGAGTTGACCATCCAGATGATAAAAACTGGGGTAAAGGTTGTCTTCACGGCAAAAATACAAGCTAAGCTCCCTTTGTAACTACGAAGTATTTTTAGGTGTCGGGTGCTATAAGAATCACGCAAAGATGTTTGTAGAATGTATTATAAGCGGTGTGTATCTCATTTATTTATCATGTCATCGATACTACATCGGTCAGACGGGTTGCTCTTTGAACGATCGCCTTAGGGAGCATGCAAACCTGATGCGCGGATCAGTGGGCAACCACTTGGCAATCACTGTGTGAATTCTGGGTGCATTACGAAGTTTGATGAATGCCAAGTGATGGCAAGATATAAGGACAAGAGGGTGCGTCAAATATATGAAGCTTTTTTGATTCGCAAAGCAGGAACTGGGTGCTCCGTCAATCAATCTGTTGAATAACGAATACAACAATCTTTCCAGTTAAGTTGGCGTTTCAAGATCCGACGCATGCGCCATAATTTGTCCTTTCTTCTGTGTGTGATCCCTTCGCCCTCTTGAACATATTCCCGCCATCTGTGCTGTAAAATTGGTTGTAAGTGTGCGCCCTGTCCTATCTTCCTTCTGAAACGTTCCCTGCGCACTAAGGAAGTATATTGCCGCGACATCTTGCCTGCATTCAAACAACGCGCCCATCACCACGCGTACAGGGACATACATGCGCGCCGTCTAGTGTTGCACAGAGACGACGATGATGGCACGAGCACCCAGCTGGACCCGAATGATGTGCGCCACGCGCTCGGGACTTCTCTGATTTGATTGATTGATTGATATGTGGGGTTTAACGTCCCAAAACCACCATATGATTATGAGAGACGCCGCAGTGGAGTGCTCCGGAAATTTAGACCACCTGAGGTTCTTTAACGTGCGCCCAAATATGAGCGCACGGGCCTACAACATTTCCGCCTCCATCGGAAATGCAGCCGGTACTCGATCCGGCGACCTGCGGGTCAGCAGCCGAGTACCTTAGCCACTAGACCACCACGGCGGGGCTCGGGACTTCTCTTTCAAAGGAAGAAGAAGGCGGTCATCTCTGGTGTTCGACTGACACGTTCGACGACCATAGTCACTTTGAGTTGTGGGCACAGGTTCGCCCATTGATAAATACGTTTTATTACACCCCAGAGTCCTTCAACATCGCTACAACATTTTTTTCAATAGATTGACGCTGGATGAGCGCGAACTAGCAATCACAGTTCGACACTTTCAGCGTGCTGCTCAAACACAAAAAAGGACGATAGAAAAAGAAAAAAAAAAAACAAGCACATGTATTCACAGGACGAGCGTGAACAAACTGGCACAATTCTTACTTCAAATCGTGTTTGGGTCGCAAACCACCACCCGACGCTCCTATGTGTTTTTTTTTTTCTTCTTCAAAAGTGGGGCGCGTACCCCTCTGCGCCTACTGCCGCGCAGTGTCGTTCGACGCTTTGCTTACCTGGAGTTACTGCACTTGCTAGAGGATCCGTATACAGTAACTCTATGCTTCCCCGGCATACCACATGTCGCTCTATGCTTCTCCGGCATAACACATGTCGAGTGGGCACAAAACTGGGCAACTTTTTGTGTGCGGATCAAGAGCAGCATTCAAACTGAAGCAAAATCGAGCATCGTTGCTTTAAAGCGCGCCCTTCTGGCATTCTAGGAGGTGACACAGCACACGCTAAAGCCCCTCCCAGCTCTGCGAACTGCCAGTGGTAAATGGTGTACACAAATTGCGACCGTTAGCATCCCAATAATGAATCGCGTGTGGCCTCTTTAACGCTGTCCGCTTGTGTAGCGAGGTGTCGTGGGTTGAGTCTGGGGGGCGCGCTTTCGATGTTTTTTCTTTCGATTTATGTTCCTTTCTGGCTTTTATATTTATATACGCCTGCATATACACATCTGAGACATAACGTCAGCGGCACCGTCAAGAACTGCTGAGAGTGTCCATATAGGTGCCATCGCCATGAAAGGACAATAAGAGGGTAGTAAGCTGTCCCTACAGAACAAGTTCACCCTCGGCACCAGCTGACGCTAGTCAATTGGGTGTAACAGCGGTGCCTCGATCACCTATAAAACCCCTTTCCTACACATCTGTGTTACTCGGAAGCCACTGGCACGAGTTTGCCCTTACTAATGCAACATTCCTGGAGATGCAATCGTTTACGTCCTATCGGGAAAACGAAGTCGCACGCAAACTAAGATTCTCCGTTGTAAAATCGAGAAATCACAAATAAGATGCCATACCTTATCGGTGAAGTCCTTAACATACTTCAGTTTCTTCAGGTTGTTGGCAACGATCTGGTGAAAGCGTGGCATGATGCAGCGTTATCTTTGAAAGCATTTGATGATGATGATGATGATGATGAGCCTTCAGCTTTGCTGGCACTTGAGCGCGTTCGAAAATGACCGTGCGCTCGCACTGCGCCGCCGTCCGCGACTTTTAAATATAGTCATAAGAAAGCGTTTGCATAGAGGAACGTAGTCGGTGGGAGCACAAAGCTATGTGAGAGTACAAAGCCGTCCCGTGGGGCCCCCCATTTCACGAGGCCGTGCCGACGAAAATTACGCCTTGAATGAGTTCATGAGCTGTGTTCAGCTCCGCACTCAGTTGGACCCATCGCTTGCGTCATTATTTAGAGAAAAATAGGTAAATATTTAGAGTACCAGCTACTCTACTATGGGAGAGTACAAAGGAGTAGTAGTAGTAGTGTGTAACCAGTCTTACATTTTGACCTCCAAGGTGGTGCCGGTGGGAGATTTCTTCTGTGCGTTGTTGAACAATAAAAAATTTGCAGCGTGCGCATCAACAAAAAGCTGAATTCTCCTGTCTCTCATTGCCCCCTAACCAGCCATTGGCATGTACATTGAGCACTATCTGACAAGAAAGGGTTGCTACGTTATACTCGCTGGGCGTAACCTCCTTGGTTTTAGAAAGTTTTAGCGAGCGTTGGGCCGCAGTGCCATCAACACAGTGAACTAGTATATACCATGAACTCGAGGTGGTTAAAGTTGGGAAGTAGACACGAAGCGCAAGCCGTAAGAAAGTGTGCATGTGCCTCCTCTCGTTCAGTTCTTGGAATGTCCGCTGGATGGCGGTGCTTATATATGGCGAAAATATGATGAAAAGATGCGAGATGGTGGTACTTGGAGTGTTGAATAGATGGACGAATGGACATAGAGATAGAAGCATGGACGGACGCATGGATGGTTGCACGGATGGATGGACGCATGGACGGACGCAGGAGCGGATGGATGGACGAAAGCAGGGACGGATGCACAGATGGACGTGCGGACGCATGAACAGACGCACGCACGGACGGGCGGGTGGACGCATGGGCGGCCACACAGACGCACGCATGGACGGACGGAAGCAAGAACAAATGGATAGACGGATGCTTCGCCCCACTGCCATCATTCACTCCGTGGATTTGCTGCCATTTTTTTTTTCAAGTTTTGCATAGCTTATGTGCGCACAGAAAGATGGACAATGATGATCATGAGTATGTACAGTGCAAGCGGTTATTTACGGCGTGTGTTTAAAGAGAAGTCGTCAACGATTTTGAGTACTTCGTACTCAGCTATGGGAGAGCAGTGAGCCGTCCCGAGTGAAGACAGCGTGTGTTTGGAAAAATTTGTTAACGTTTTAGAGTACCTGGTACTCTACTAAGGGAGAGCAGTGAGCCGTCACGTGGGCTCCGCTCATTAGGTTCTAATGCATGTGCAGTATAAACGGGGGGGGGGGGGGGGGGCTAGAAAAAAGTGGGTAACGATTTAGAGTACGAGGAACTCTACTGTGGGAGAGCTTAAAGCCGTCCCGTGGGCCTAAACGACGACGACATTTGCTTAATAAGTGCTATACGAGGAGATTGAGCAGCAGTGGGGGTCTTTTACCGTTAGTACCTTTAACAGCAGTGTTAGCAGGACTACCACAACAAAAAATTAGCAATAAATTATTGCAAAGGAAAATCGTGACTGACACGTACTATATATTTAGGCCGACTCCGCTTCGTGTTTTACAAAGGGCCTTTAATGTACTTTTGAAAAATTAGATCAATTCCGAACACAGTCTCTTATTTTTTCATTTACTTTGCACCATCGGTACAACTGTGCCGCTTCTGAAAAAGAATGTATTTTTTGTTTTGTGTATTCCTTCATGAATGGTGATTATCGTCCGAAATCTCGGAAATGGCCGTGTTCCGATTCTGACAGCACGTAGACAGCCTACGCAGACAGCTTAGAAGACAGCACCGGGCCAATGCTGTCAAAAAATGGAACACATCGGGCTGTTACGCGATGAGGCGCCGCCAGACCCGTGGCATGTTGCGAGCTTCGCGTCTGTGCTGTGGGGCGTCGCCACCATCGAAACGGTGACAGCGCACTGCCGGCTACTTTAACGAAATGCCATCTAAGCCTTTTTTTAAATGCGAAGCATTTCTTAGCGAACTTCGGCGACATTGAGCGCATCTATCTATCTATCTATCTATCTATCTATCTATCTATCTATCTATCTATCTATCTATCTATCTATCTATCTATCTATCTATCTGCTATCTATCTAGTCTATCTATCTATCTATCTATCTATCTATCTATCTATCTATCTATCTATCTATCTATCTATCTATCTATCTATCTATCTATCTATCTATCTATCTATCTATCTTATCTATCTATCTATCTATCTATCTATCTATCTATCTATCTATCTATCTATCTATCTATCTATCTATCTAGCCACTAAGACTTATAGCTCTCCTGGCCATTTCAATAATGGTATCGATACCAAACTTGGTTATAGCATAACATGACTGTATGAAGAACATATGGACTAGTGGCAAGCTGAAAATCACGACATGTATGCCGTGAATGTCATGATTTACATTTCATGATCCTGCAGCTCTTCCGGTAGTTTAGTTCACATGGCATGTTGCAAAACTGGTATGGTATGGCACGATTCTATGGTGAACACAAGGGACGAACCCTAACATGAAAATCATGAGATGCGTGTCATGTGAGAACATGACTACATGCCACGCTCGTGATGCGCTCGCGGCCGTTTCGCTAGCTTCACTTATACAAAATTTGGTATTATAGTACGTGAATGGATGATGAAGGTATGTGACTGGTACAAACATGATTATCATGTGAGATGCGAGTCATGTAACAACATGACTACATGCCACGCTCGTGATGCGCTCACGGCCGTTTCGCTAGCTTCACGTATGCCAAATTAGATATTACAGGACGTCAATGGATGACGAAGGTATGTGACTAGTACAAACATGATAATCATAAGATGCGTGTCATGTGAGAACATGACTACATGCCACAGTCAAGGCGCCAATTCATTCCGACGTGATGCGGTGCGCGTGCTCGCCGGTGTTCATTTAGTCGCGTCACGCTGGCGTTGCCCCGCCAGGTGCCGGTCCTGCCATATAGTCGCAGGCGCACGCCGCGCTGCTTTGTTCTGACGCATGCGCGTTTGAGAGCGTCCGGCGTCCCTCCGTCACGAAAAGAGGGATACCCAGTGTTGTCTGGGTAACGCATTGGCGCGAAATGCAGTATGTCGCATTTCGCGCTGGTCGCCGACGGACGCTGGTCGCGCCTGGCGTCAGACTATTGTGTGCCTGCGTTTTGCTAACATAGCGTCGCTTGTGCCCAGCGTGCGCGTGCGTCAACGCTACGTTGGAGTATAATGGGCCCTTCATGATGCGCTCGCGGCCGTTTTGATAGCTCCACATATACCAAATTTGGTGTTAGGTGACGTCAATGGATGACGAAATATATGACTGGTGGAAGCATGATAATCCTGACACGCGTGTCACATAAGAACAAGACAACATACCACTCTCATAGCCTGCTCGCGGCCGTTTCGCTAGCTCCAAATATACTAAATTCAGTATCACGTGACGTGTATGGGTGACGAAGGTAAGCGACACATCCGAACATGATAATCATGACACGGAAGTCATGTATGTCATCATTTCCTCCACCTTGTAACGTTGTGCTGATCTTCAAGTGGTATATCAACATTTCTCATTCGTGCTTCGCACATCATCGATTCCCACTGTACGTGGAATCTGCCAATTTTTTTGACGACTTCATAAGACTTCGTAGTGGTACGTATAAAAAGCAGCTTCACAATTAATTTTAAGCATTTAGAAGCACGAATAGTGCGAACGCGTGGAAGCCTGGAAAGTGACCTACCTTAGCTGGCAGCGTGAACCCTAAAACAAACAGTCGGGCCGCATTGCTCGTCAAAGGCAAGCGGATACGTTGATATTATTTACGGAAAGTTTGCCGAATACTGTCACCGAGGTTTCACGACATCTTCCTTTACAGAAGTGCAGGAACGTTAGTGGTACACCTTTACTTACTGCAGTGAAGTTTTCGTGCGTGGAGTGCAGTGCATATATCAGCCAGCGCTGGACAGCTTCTGTGCTCCGGGCATCTGCGTTGGAGCTATGCGTAGTGCGTACCTTGTTTGCACATGAACGCTGATGCGCGCATATTGTTCACTGCTGTACATGCTAAAACGTTACTACGTGTCCTTTATTTAATCTAAACGTTGATTGAACGTTATTTAATCCAAACGTTGAGTAAGTTTGAGTGATCAGCGTTGTCGTTTCACTCGGCCTGTATGGGGCATCACAACTTACTAAAGTAAGTATGTAAGATACTTATGGGCTTGTACTAAGTGGTTTACTGCAATTTACTATATAAAAACAGATAAAATTGATGCAAGGATCTTCTTCAAACGAGCGGGAGACAGTCATGACGCACAAGCAGACGACGACGGTGTCGTCTGCTATGCGAACGCCCAGCCGCCATATCAAAACGCCCTGGTGTTTTGAAACCCATTTCGTTTTATAAGCAGCTATAAACTATACAACTAATATTGTCAGTTTTTATTTGTTCAAAAAAGCTGTTTGGATGCAGAATATATTAAAAAAATTTCCAGTTGTCAGTAAAATAGTCATTTTCTAACTTCTGTACAACTGCCACCGGAGTCTAGACGGTGCTATCTTCGCTTCCAATTTTTGTCCCCATTTTGGTTTTGTGGACACGTCACTTCCTTGGCGTCACCTCGTGTCGAGAAGAGAAAGCTAAAATAAATAAACGTAGATGTTGTATATTCTGGCATATTTCGTGCTAAAATTAAAAAAAAAACATTCAAAGTTGCTCACACCGAGCGTTTGGAGAAACGTCTGCTTGTGTGCAGACGACCATTTCTGCAAGATTCGATCTATCTCAGCCGCGGAGGAAGGAAAGATAAGGAGAGGCCCTGACGTCACTCGTTGTGAAGCCGCGATGAAG